CCTCCAACCTACTAGCGATGTGCGGCCTCCAACCTACTAGCGATGGCCTCCAACCTAATAGCGATGGCCTCCAAACCTGCCTCCAACCTAGAAGCGGTGGCCTCCAACCTAGAAGCGATGGTCTCCAACCTAGTAGCGATGGCCTCCAACCTACTGGCGAACTTCAATCTTCCTTGGAATTGCTTTTCGTTTCACAGTCTGACAGCTCCAAATCCTCCGTCCGGCCTGGAACGAGTTCATGAGGTTCTCCCCGTGGGTGGTCTCATCAAGGGTGTAGCCAATGGCCTGATGGCACATACTGTATGAGAGTCTCTGAGCATCTGTGTCTGAGAATCTCCGTGAACTTCCATGTTGCTTCTCATAAGCTTCTCGGAGCCTGCAGGAGCTCACAAACGCACCTGAGTATCGGAGACCACGCTGGGTCCAGTGGGTCTTTCTCATGCCCCGACCAAGTAGTACTTGCTCGACACTTTTCGAAGCACGTATATATACATATATATATAGTTCTCTCAAAAGGAAGGCGATGTCTGTCAACAGCATCCACCACATGTCCAACTGCAAGGGAGAAGAATTAGTAGAATTGGTAGTTAGTTTTGTCGGCTTTTCTTGCTGATTCTGCAAATTCGATCGAGTCAGTTTCCTTTTTTTTCTGCTGTCCCAATTGGTGCCCAGGTGCTCAATCATGTGCTCTTCAGGCTGGCTTCCGTTCTCCTTGATCCCAATCAGATCATGGACAACCTGACCAATGACCTCACAGGGAGCTTGCCGCAAGTACTGCAACTGTCGTATCGGATCAAGCGGTCCCAACTAGCCTTCACCGCGAGAAGTTGGCGCAAAAAGAGGTGGCCAATAAACTTCCTGAGTGCAAACGGACTTTGACCAATTTGCTTCAGTGTGACTGCTTCACTCACCGCAAGAAGTTGAAAGCCGGAAGTTTGTCCTCACTAGTCCTCACTAACCAGAAACGCCTGAGGGCTGCACATGTTCGCCAGCATCATGTCTTTCTTGCGCTTAAGCCTTGGTGTGGTGATCCATACATGCAACACTTTTTCTAGCCTTTAGCAGTAGCAGAAACCAACACATATCATGCAACATTTTAAACTTACAGAAACGGGCAGTGCCTTTGAAGACCAAGCAACTCTTGTTGCAATTCTTCTGGATTTGGGAACTTTACCCTCTCCTCATCTGTTGCTTCAAAGGTTGCGGGCATGTTCTCAAATTCATTCTGGCCTGCACCATGGGCTGTCAGAGTCTGCAAACACAATCCTGTGAGTTCGCAAGCACAATGCTCAGTGCATCCAGGACACAGTTGTTCAACAGCACCTTATTTCAAGCATTTGGTGCAGGACGCTACTAGTAGCTCCTGGCCTTACTACTAGCTACTAGTAACAAAAAGCTACTAGGAACAAAGGCCATCGCTACTAGGAGCAAGGACGCTACTGGTACGACTATAAACATACTAATCCAGACTTGCTAAAATGAAAGGTAGGGATATGACGCGCGTGAAGGTGGCTGGTTTCTCATTCTCGTTCTCTGCAGGGAACTGTGGGTACCTCTCCTGAGTTGAGACAAAACACACTGCCACTCCAGGACTCCAACACGGAAAAGTAACTAACATAGAAAGAAAGCTGTTAATTAAATTGTTTAGAGTTTAGAGCAAACTACCCACAGTATGGACTTGACACGTCCACCTTGAGCTAACAGCACTGCGAGAGACTGAACCCCCGGTGGAAACACAAAATAAGCGAAAACAAACCCGAATGCACACACATACACAAACACAAGCGGTCAAATGAGGCTGGATCAAAAGGTTTTGGTTGACCTCCTGGGAGGTCAACTTACCAGAGATTAGACTCCGGGTTTTGACCCACAGCCAGATCTTGCTTGCCACTCTTCCACACTCTTGAAGGACATTATGGACATTGTCCTGTGATACTGTTCCAGGACACTCTTTGTAGGACACTCTTGTCACGCAATCTTGTAGGACACTCTTGTGGGATACTCTTGTAGCACACTCTGGTAGGGCAGTCTTTGCATGTCTAGCAAGATGTGTCACGAAAACACCGCTTCGAGTTAAGCGCTTCAAGCACAAATCCCAAAGGCAAAGCGACATTCAATTCCACTCAAGACCCCCCCCAAAATTAAACGAGAACCCTTCGCGTTCAAAAAACAATGAAACAAACCTTAACCATTGTAGGCTTTTCGTAACTCCTCAGGTAGGGCTTTAGGCTACATGGCATACACTTACACTCTGCTGTCACCAGCCGAAGGGCTTTGAGGGCAAAGACCATGTCAGCATAGGTCTCGCCTGAGAGCAAAGGCAAATGAAGCAGTGTCTTATGCAGCTCCGGAATCGATATGACTGTGACACAGCAAAGAAGGACGTTTAGGCTGAGTTGGGCTTCATAACTTGTTGTGCCCCCCAAACATTCACCTCGCACGAGCGTTTGCATCCCAGTCACAGTAGTGAGGTTCGGCAAGGGCCTGGCAGCAGCACAAGGCAAAAACGTGCAAAAACTAAACACCAACCACGATGCGGCAGGTATTGTTGATTCATTGATGGCTTATTCAGCTTTTGTTTTGCTGCTCTTGGTCACAAACATACATCGCGCACCCCCATGTCAATGTTGATTTTGGGCTTCAAGCATGTTAAGCAGAAAGCGCCACGGTACATCAAAGAGGTTCCTCTAGTGTAGTCTTGCTGTGAGAAAGGATGCAACCAGGCTACGACAGGTGTATCTGTCTATATACCTATCTATGATAGGGTGCCACTTTAAGAAAATGCCGCTCCTTCCAGGAAAGAAACATGACCTATAATTACCCAATCCAATCTTCATAATTGTCAAAACAAGAGGCCCAGAAAGCTGAGAAATCTTCTGGCACCGGTTGAGCTTCTTGCCTTCTTGAAGATGATCCGAATCACCCACTCGAGCTCTTCGGCTTTCACCAACTTGATGCTGGCGAGCTGGTCGACGATCACCGTCAGGTTGTCCGGGCAGATCTTGTTCAACAAACTCGTCGCCTTCAGTACGACTCGTCAAAGGGTGAAGCCCAAGCAAGGACATGAAACTGTTTTTAAAGCCCGCTTCCCCCGCTCCCTACTTAATTAAGTAGGCGCCTACTTAATTCAGTAAGGGAGAGAGGTAGCTAGTACCTTACTCAAACTACTAGCATGGATGTGGGATAGCTTACGCTTCTTCAAGGAAGCTCTCCCGGCCGCCTTGGGGTGGCCGGGATAGCTTCCTTGAAAAAGCGCTCTCACTAATGATTTGGTTGAAACTTAACTTATGAAAACGTCGACGTGGAGACGTGCCACAAACCGGCATAGAACCATTCAATCATGCTTTGTCCGGCTTCCTTCTCCACTATTCTCTCTTCACTTGTCTTTCTGAAATGTCGATTGTCCGCAGAGGCTGGGATCCAGGCATTTCGTTGGAGCTCTTCCATCCGCCCTTGGGGTGCCTTGTGATGCACATCGATACCAGCAACGCATGGTGATGGCAAATCCATCCGCCCAACAAAATTCCTCCATATGCGCATGTCACATGACATTATACTAGTATATAAAAGGAACTCTTTGACTGCTACTGTCTAAGTCTATGTGTAATCTTTTCCATCATCCGTGGGCCTTTCTTTCTTCCTTCCTTTCTTCCTGCTTTTCGTTTGAAACACCGGCGCCTCCTTCACCTTGTAGGCATTTTCCGATGGCTTTGGCAAGAACTCCTTCTTCGGGCCTCATCAGCCAATGAGGCATATGGCTGTGAAGTCATGACCCAACATAATGCCATCCGGGTTAACAAGATCTTTTCAAGCGTGCAATGGTAAGACCCAATCCACGGTCCCCAGCCAGGGGAGCATGCCAAAGAAGTTGTAATTACTTGAGGCTCTCCACTATTCAACCTAAACCTGCACGAAAATAATCAAACACGTGCTTACCATCAGCTTCACCATGAAATCCAAGACACCTTTCTTCATTTCTGTGCCAAAAACCTGCAGGGAGCACTCAGGCCAAGATTACCGCACGAATGAAGTAAGGGGGTCTCTTTAACAAGGGCCCTTCTTAAATTCTTAAAACAGCCTTTACCTTCTTTTTTCATATCTGTTTTCCTTTGACACTTATATATTATTAGGCGAAAGGACTCCGTGAAGATGAAGGGGATAAAATTGGAAGTGCAAAAAGGTGTTCAATGAGCAACATGTCATACTAACTCTGAGCATGGCTGAGGTGCGTTTGGACCCCAAGACTTTCACAGCTGCCAGTTTCGTCACTCTTGGACGAGGCACAGATGCTCGATCTGGGGCTTCCTCTTTTTTTCACCGGCCTCTTCCTGCCGCACAAGGTTTCAGTCTTAGCAACTTTTTTGCAACAACCTGAAACCTTAAGCCTCCGACCAGGCCAAAGAGCCAAAGAGGTTACCAGTTGTTGGAGCCATGGAGAATTGGGAATTCGGTTTGACAATGCCAACAGCAGGGTGACATGTTATATTCATTGCTGCGCTTAACCGGGCCGTCCTGTCCATAACCGGTGTCTTGCTGTCTCCAGGTCGGATGCTCACGCCCCTGGGACGAACACCAGTGGATCGCACCAAATGTGAAGAACTCTAAAGAAATTCACAACAGAAATTGCCAAAAAAAGGGACAGCAAATGATTTTTGCTCCCGTCACCAACTGTAGTCACATCATGTGACTCAAAAAGAGCTAGTCCGCAAGTAGTGGCTTGATGCGCATCACATCAAGTTCCTGTTGACAAGGCGTTTATATATATATATATACATATAATTTACATATTGTCTACCGTTTGCCAGAAAGATCGAATTTTGTACCACACCATTCCAATTACAGTGTGCAAGCAGCAGCAACACACAAGCAGCACCCAGGCAGCACAAAAGCAGGAGCAGCCAACCAGCATGCAGCAGCACACAAGCATTAGCAGCAAACAAGAAGCAGCAACAGCAGCAGCGGACAAACTGCAAGGAAGCAGGACAGAAGCAACGCAGGAGCAGCACAAAAAACAGCAGACCAGCAGCAGACCAGCAGCAGCACATAAATACCAGAACACCACCAACAGCACACCAGCAGCAGAAGCAGCAGCAGCAGCAGCTTTTCTGGGTTGCGTTGCAGGCCATCGCTATTAGGTTCGAGGCCATCGTTAGTAGGTTGGATGCCATCGCTAGCTGAGACTTCTCATGCCAAGCAGCAGTCCCCTGATTTCACCGTGGAGTTCGGCCTTGTGCATCTGCCAAATTCTCAGCATCAATTCTCTGCCTCGAAATTTGGACACGTCGACCAAGGACTGATTTGTGACCAAGTCTTTTTGCAACCTCGTCTCACGGGAAAAAACACATACTGTAAACGAAAAAGGAACCGCTCTCCGGCATTCTTCCGGCAGTCGGCTATTGCCAACAACCCCCGATTATTTGCACAAGTATCTGATGATTAAACCTATGCAGAACGCAGGGGAAATAGACTGTTTCATGTGGCTGCTCAGGAACTATTTATGTATAGCGAACCTCTATCAAGAGAGTGCTATATATAAATCGAACCTCTATCTGCGCTGGGACACGGAGAAGTCCGACCCCCACAAGGACAGAGTCATGTGCCAAGGCACTGAAGACCTTGTTCTCTGGCATGAGGGACACCTCTTGCAAAGGGCAGTCACTCAGCCACGAAAATGCTGCAGAACGTTCAAAATGCCGAGACGATAGGCCGTCCAAAGGACCTATGGTGGACCTCTAGACATCAGAAGGATCTTCTACAAATCTGTTGCGCTCCCCTACCCCTCCTTCCCTCCCTCCTTCCCTCCCTCCCTCCCTCCCTCCATCCCTCTCTCTCTCTCTCTCTTCTCTCTCTCTTGCGCTAGCTTTGGGGCTACAAACTTTCCAGCACAAAGATCTTCTTCTGCTGAACATATTGAGAGCTCCCGCGAAAACCTCTTAGGCGGGCTAGTGGCGCTGTTCTCTGCACGGGCGTGCATTGACATATAATATTCAACCACTTCACGCAACGTTGTAATGATATTCTTAATTCCATGGATGTTTCTTTGTGGTGAACATGTGACGCCGTCATAGTTACCTTAGTTCCAGTCAAGTCACGCGCGACGGGTCATGGGTGATGGCTTCAATCACAGGCTCCTCCGAGGAATGAATTAATTGCATCAACTGGCCTTGTCAAGGATGGTGCAAAGCCTTGTGACTTCATCGTTCATCCATGATCTTTTCCATCCATGTCACACTGCAACCTAATCTGCCTTTTTGGGGTCATGGGGCACCACTCAACACTCAAGTGCTGTCCTGGACAATCACCACAGGTTTCACATCCTTCGCAGGAAAGAAACAAAAAGGACAAAGTAAGATTACACCTGCCTGGCTTGGGCAAGCACAGCAAACCGAGGGCTACTGAAGGAGCTAGTGCCACGCACAACACCAAAAATGCCAGCCTTGATTGCTTCAGGCTTCGCATCCCCATCCTCAATCTTGGCAGTTCCGGTTCTGGCCTTGTCAAGTCGAAGGCTGGCAAAGAGCCCATCCATTCCACCCCCCTGCATTTCAAAAATGTTCTAATGCGACTGATTTACACCACATGGTGGGCCGCACTTGGCCTTCAAAAGCCCGATACCCCTGATGAGGTGAGTCAAAGGAACCCAAACATTGCATTTGTCAGTCCCTCATGCTAAGGCTGGATCCAGCTTTTCGTTCTTCAACTTGAAGCCTTTCTTTGCAGGCGTTTTTGCCAAAGGCCTCAGGTTCATGCCTCTTGCCAAACAGTAAATCTTGAAAAGCCCTATGCCCTGCCAATCGCAAAAGCATGTCCAGCCAAGCAACACAGGCGGAGACTGTGCAGATGCGCCCGGAAGAGCCTGTGTTTGTGCTGCTGGCGCAGGTGCTGGAGCAGAAGACTCTACTGGGACATGAGGCGCGGCTGCCATAGGCTGTGGCACTTCGGGCACAGGGGGTTGTGCTTGTTGGGGCTGTGGTGCTTGTTGTGGTACATGTGCTTCCTGCTGGAGCTCCTGCTGCTGCTCAAGTGCAGCTGGCGGAGCTCCTGGCCCCTTGGCTTTGGCCCCTGGGGAACGGGGGATCCCCTCTTGGAAGGGCAGTGAGGGGTGCGAACCCCGCTTCGGAGGAGCGGACCGCATGGGTTCCAAATTCAAGGCCTTAATGTTGGACGCAAAAGCATGGCACGTGATCCCTTGGGCCTTGGGTGGCAGTGGGGGCAAAGGAGGCTGGTTGAACCGAGACCCCGTCTGTGTCTGTCCGGTAGATTCACGATTTCCACCAGAGGAGGGGCTGGTTGGGTGACTTTCTGCGGCTGGTGCTTTGGGCTCAGGTGCTGGGGTACTACTTTGTGCACTTGGCGCACTTCCACCGGCCTGACCTGCCTCTCTGCCTGCATTTTGAGTGGCAGCATTTTTGTCTAACTTTTTGTTGACCAGGCCTTTCTTTGGCTTGGCCCGTTCAGGCTGCTGAGCTGGCGCTGGGGGGGTCGCTTGGTGTGGTTGAGCTGGGTGGAGGCGCTGCTGCGGGGGCTGTGGCTTGCTGATTCTGCACCATGCCACCTTTTTGCGGCATCTGCACTTGCTGCTGAACTTGCTGCCCTTGTCCCATCCCTTGCGTGCCTTGAGGCATATTTTGTGGCGCACTGCATCCATTACAATGCGCCATGTTTCCCTGGCCCCAATTGTTGGGCGCCGCTTGCCCACCGCAAGCTTGGCATGCATTTGGGTCCATGACCATTTGACCCTGCTGGTCCGGCATCATGGTGGTTACTAGAACCATCTGCTGCATGGCACATCCACTGTTCCCTGCAGCCATCATGGTGGGCTGCATTTGGCCCATCTGATGGTTCACCCCTCCCATCTGAGAGCCATCTTGAGGCATCATCAATGCGTACCCACCATGGTCACCACCCATGTTGAAGCCCTGCATCTGCTGCGATGGGTCGTATCCACCCTGCATTTGGCCTTGCTGATTGGCCATCATACCACCATCTGTGCCTTGTGCAACTTGCGGCTGCATTTGTCCTGGCACTGCAACATAGTAGTACCTTAGTGAGGTAGCAGCCAAGAACTTGCTACAAGTCCCGCTGTAAGACTGTAAGTGCACAGATTGAGATAGGGATGCGGGATGCAAAGAAAATCGAAAAAGGTGATCGCGGCATATTGTAGATCAAGTGTTGGATTTTTTGTTACTTGCTGAGTCCCTGACATCATGTGCTGCTGATGTTGCTGTTGCTGATTGTTCGCCATGGCCGAAGTCATGGCGAACTACTCTCTCCCATCCTACAAAACCAACACAAGTATCAGGCTCAATTCTTGAGCCCAAGCAAGCAGAAAGTACAATACATAGACAACCACAGTCCTTGCAACCAGGTAACTAACTACTAACCATGCGCTCTAAGGTATACAGTCCACATTGTAAGAACCCAGGACCTAGACCTAGTCACGAATTTTCGATCTCAATCTTGAATCAGCAGTCGCTCTGCATGTTTTACGCACTGCCCAATCGAACCATATGGTCACTACAAACAGAAACCGACCAGCTAGAATAGAGGCAGGCATTCATGAGGGACTTGCACATTCCCATTTAGGATCAAAAACACAATGAGAGCAGTTAACACGGCAAGCAATATTGCTCGCCCATTTGGTCACCGCAGCTGGACGCTCTAAACACTTTGCTCCGGCACTCAGGTAGACCAGTCAGCCAAGTCCAAGCCAAGACCTTGGAAAGGCATGGGCAGCAAATGAAGGGTTGTACTTCTTGGAAGTTATACCTTTGTCCATCCGGGCGCCCAAGAGGAAAGTACACAACTTCTGGGTCATAGTACCTCAGGCACCTCATATCCATCCGGTGGGCATAGATCTATGTCTATGGTGTTGAATTCATGTGCGGATTGTGCAGGGAACAACTGGGAATAGCCATTGTATGTCAGCCCATCTTGGCCCCTTCCCTGCAGCTTGGAGCACTGTACTGCGTTTCCTCGTACTCTTGCAAGTAGACACCTGGGCAAAGCCAATGCCAACAGCTGGTGCACATCTCAAATCAAGCGACGGAGAAAGTTAGCGATGGCTTCCAACCTAATAGTGATGGCCTCCAACAAAAATATCTTCAAATGATTTGCAAATCCAAGCATCGAATGCTCAAGAAGTCCGTCGGGCATGCCGTTTCACAGCGCTTGCAGCCGACGCAATCCTCCACCCGAGGAGATGATGCGACCTGCTTGGCCGCGTTCACTGTGGCTGGCACCATCTCCAGCACATCGGTGGGGCAAGCACGGACGCACAAGGTGCATCCAATGCAAGTGTCGTAGATCTTCACGGCATGGGAACGCCTGGAGGAAAAAGCTCCGTTCGTAGCGTCCTTTGCTAGTAGCAAGGCCAGGAGCCCCTGGTAGCTTCTCGTTCCTAGTAGCGATGCCAGGAGCCCCTAGTAGCGTCCTTGCTCCTAGTAGCGTCGTCTTCACAAGCCCTTGTTCACACTATCTCTGCGTCACCCCTAAATTTGATGAGCATATTGGTCACGTCGTTGCACCGCTCACTAACTCTATATGAAAATCTGACAATGTGCTAAACATCGCATTGGTCCAGCCTTGCCATCTTGGAAGCCCTCACGACTGCGCCCACTGCGCCCACGCCCAGGCCCAAGGCCAGCATGGCTTGGCCGGTCCCTGCACCAGCCAGCACATCGGGCGTGCGTGCTTGCTGTGGGCTTGGGGCTGCTGGAGCGCTGCGTGGCAGGAATTGAACAAAACTCGGAGCGCAAAGCCAGGCACACACTGTGGCCGCGGCCAAGGCGAAAGCCACGAGCTTCGTCATCTCTGCTCACTTCAGTGGGGGATCAAATGGCTGCCAGCGACAGGAGCCAAAAGCAGGCGGGAGCGCACTCTTCAAAGCAGCCAAAACAAATGTGCGAACATGTGAAACATTGTGAAACTGTAAGACTCCATGACTAAGCCTCCCCCCAGGATGTTTCGTCACTCTTGGCTCCGTCTCGGGAGCGTCAGAATCTCGTGGCGCGTACTCTAAATCATGCCAGTCAAGCCAACAGCAAGGCCAAGACCTCGGTCGGTGAAAGCTTCTTGTTACTAGCTGCTATACTTGCTCCTAGTAGCCCCTAGTTGCTTCTTGTTACTAGCTTCAATTCAAGTTTCCATGTGTTTTACAGCGCAAAACTAAGGACGAGGATGGACTAGCGTGCTTGAGCTTTGGGCTTGCAGCATTTGGCTTGGCATGGCCGCTTTGAGAGCCTCATCTTGATATCCAGCCACAGTTGACTGAAGCACATCAACTGAGCGCAACCCAGCCTGCACACCTGGGCAGGGTGGCAAGAAAGCAGTGATGTCCGGCATGCCGAAAGAACTGTGGATCTTCTGGTTTCGGACTTTTTTCCAGACCTGAGGCTGAAATCATCAGGCCAGTTAGCCAGGCGAGTGGAAACTGGAAGCCTGCCAGGCTTTGAGGGTAGAATTGCACCTGCTGGCCTGCTTGCAATTTCATATGTCTGATTTGATGCTTCTGATCCTGACGGTCTGACTACGCTCCCCCCCCATGGCTCTTTGGCACATCCAAGTGCCTCACGAGAAAGCTTCGGTGTTCGAAACAACCCAGGGCTGAGGACGGCAGTGTACGCAAGTTGCTGGTTTGGAAGATTGACAAAAAAGCAACTTGTGGTACTAAGAGTACCGCGGAGTTACAGGGTAATTTTGAAACCTCGCATGCGACGATCTCTCCAGTTGCAAAGCTTACTTCTTAAGAGGGAGAGAAGGGAGTTGCAACATGTTTGCAACTTCAATTTATGCCCAACGCATGAAGCAGCTTTGCAAGAATTCCAGTGTGGTAAGAATGTTTCCCTAGAGCCCACCGTCAATCGGCCAGGCTGATACAACACACAAATCACCAGTCTCATGCACGTCTTGCACCCGCTAAAAAGCAGAAAGCTGAACGGATACAGACCCCCATCTCGCTTAGCGCCAAAGCTTTTTCCGGTGCAGAATGAGCAAGGTTGGGTCTGCAAAGTGTGCTCACAAGACTTTGCGGAATTGTGTTCTCATACTTCTGTTATGCGCATGGGCTGCATGCAATGGTCCCTCAAAACTTCACAAACCCAAGCCCTGCAATCTATCCGCCAGAATGGCGAACTGTCCAGTCCTGAGACCTGACGGTGTCAATTACTATGCCTTTGGCATTCTAGAATGGCGAAGGGCCTAAGCTCCTAAACTCTTGTTTGTACCATTTCGTGATGGGATTTGTGCGCAACTCATACAATAACAATGACCCACGCCATTTGGAATTCAATTAAAATTCGCCCAGCCTCGTGGGCACAAAGGACAGTTGGCACAAAGCTGTGCACAGCCTTTCTAGCACAGGACAGGTGCCTAACGGTGCCAACACTGCGTCCGAATTCCGTGAAAACACATCAACCTCAAAGAGCTGCATCCTCCTTCGCCATGTGTTCCTCATGTTCCGCAAGAACCTGGCAAAGAAACGCATAGGGGAGTGGAATTGCCGAACATTGAAGTCGTTTGCTATAGTTCGTCATGGCCCCACAATACACCGGCCTCAACTTACAAATCTGACCTTTGGACACTTGATGGCACTTGGTCACTTGACACATCGCTACTAGAGAACAAGGACGCTACTAGGGGCTCCTGGCCTTACTACTAGGGGCAAGAAACTACTAGGGGCTCCTGGCATGCTACTAGGAGCAAGGACGCTATTAGGCAGTTACTTGGCTCGCCTTTGATATCTTCACTGCGATGTTGAAGGGGTACCTCCACTTGCTCAATGCATTCGTTCCCGCAACACCGCTCCCATCATGTCAGATCCTGGGTAGCCGTCCCAAATCTTTTGTTCACATGCTTAGAGCTTAGAGTTCTGTCCAACAGAACTCCGTGGGATCACTTCTTGTACGACCGTGCCAAGTGCAAGCAAGAGTGCCTTGGACAAGTTAAGTTCTGATGACTGGTCAAGACTAGTTCTTGGCGCTGTGATGTTCAGCGTGTCAAGCAATTTATGAGCTCAAGTCCAAGCCTTGCATGCCCCTCACATGACTCTAGAATGATAGCTCAGGATAGGATAAGAGAAGTAAGAAAAATTCGGTTAGATTATATAATCTTAGATTAGGTTAGATTAGATATATACCTGAGAAGGGGGGGACGAAAGCCAGCAGCCGCCAGACGAGTGTCTCTTGTTCTGGCGGGCGTCGGCACAAGACACATGGTCGGCAGCTTGCGAGTCAGCGGTGCCGCGGATGCGGGGGGGCGTATGTAATGGTGATGGAGGCAGAGAAGCAAGCCGGGTGGCTTTGGGATAAATTTGGCATGAAAGAAGTAGTGCAAGAGAAATGCGATACGTTGTATGTTGGTGTAGGCCATCATCACACGGCAATGGCATGTGTTTGTCACATGCAGGAAGGTATGCATCTTATGGAAGTTGGAAGGCGACATCAGCGCTAGCAAAGGGATGCGAAGGGGAAGTACCGTCTGAGTTCGGGTGGTGGGATACCACGTGCGCGCGCGCAGGAAGACCTTCTCCATAGTCAGCGTCGCCGCGCGTACATTTGGACTGTTTGTTTGCAATGCATGCTGCGGCACGTCGAAAAGCGGCATTCCTTGATTTGGAAGAGTGAACGGGCACGTCTTAGCCGGGACACGGACGTTTGATCCCGTGGCGCAGGAGTAGCTTGGGCTAGCAAAGGACTGAGGATTTGTGTGCATATCGGTGCACATGCCTGGACTTGAGTGAGTCATGTTCTGGCTCGATCCAAAACACAATCTTTTTCCTTTAAAGGGGCCTTTATTAAACGATCCAAACGCCTTCTTTATTCTTCTCTTTCTTATCAACTCTGTGCCTTTCTCACTCAGAGGCCTTGACTTTGGCACCTGCGTGTGTAGATCTTTGGGCCGTGGACCCAGGCTGACTGGATTCGGCCAGGGCTGCCATCAAAAACGCGACGTCACGAGTCAGTAGTATACAGAATTTATCTTCTATCTGTCTCTCTATCTTAATCTCAATCTATATCTCTATCTCCATCTATCTATCATTCTATGTATCTATGCATCTATCTATCCATCTATCTAATCTATCTGTCTATCTATCTGCACCGGCAAGCCAGAAAAACGTTCGGTGCGTGTGGACGTCGCGAGAAGCATCCACTCGACCGAGGGCATGGTGCAAGTATAGTTTTTGCTAGGGGGGCAGGAACCCTATGCGGATATGTAGTCAGCCGCGCAGCACCCCCACCGAAACTCAATCCAAATTCATGGATTTGAACTCATGTCACTTTCGGTTCTCTATGGCTTCGCAAGTTACGGGTTGTCCTGGGAACTCGTATCCTACATGCGGCTGCGGTCTGCTCTGTACGTGGGTACTCGATTGCTCAGTGCCCATTGCCCCAATAGCAACCAAAGCCCTTCATGATGCTAATGATGCACTACTCGGCGTCCATTACATCACTCGCATCACCAGACCCATTTGAACTGCTTTTCTGATCCTCGCTTTGGTCAACCCCACCAAGGTCCTCCTCAGCGACCACCCCCCCCCCTTAACTCACTTCGTTCGCCCTAAAAGCTCAAGCCTAGCCTATCGGCTGGCTTTCGTAATTATAGATTCTATTTTATATATAGGTAGAATAGGTTAAGAAACAAGACATAAAATGGATGGTGTTAAATAGATACATAGATATCAGCAAGTGTTCAAGTGAACCTTCACATGCCTCTGTTTGGACGTTCAATTTGTATACTCTCAAAAGGCTTTGCTTCTCAGCTCAGGTACGCTTCGCGGTCCCTCTGGTTGAGCGCCAGCACCCGACCACACCAATAAAGGCCATGGACAGAGATGTACCTGGGTCGCCCCTGGGTGCTGGTTCTCAACGAGATGTTGCGAAGAACACACGTTACCCACATTATCTGTCTTGCCAGGGAGGCCAAGACACGTGGCCCAGGAAGGCAATCGTGGACAAAGCTCTGAAAGCTCTGGTACAAAAACCATGGCCTTGGCTACAATTGTTCATCGTGTACCCATATCGATGTAGTATACAATATGTATCAAGAATAGATTGCTGGCACTGGCACATGCAACAACTTACAGGTAGTGTTCCTGGTAAAACGTCCACAGGCTTTGTGGCTAGGTCAGGAGGTCTTGGCCTGGTTGGGTCCAGAAACAACACATGAAAGGGCACATCCAACAAACTCTCACAGCCCCAGCATCACACTCAGCCCTGCCCATTGGCTCTTACTAGCACGCGACGCTCACCGACTTATGGAGAGAGACTCACCAAAAAAAAATATTGAGTGGATTCGGTTCAATCCAATTAGATTATATAGATTAGATTGCGAAACAATGTGAATGATGATAGTGAATTTGATGATAAACGGGCTTGCATGGTTTGCAATGTATTGATGTGTATTGTGTACTTTAAGCCTTAGTGCATTTGCGCTTTGCATCCGCTTTGCGTTCGCAATGCATGGGATTGATGTTCCTTCTGTCCTGGGGATTTTTGTGGGGAAGCTTTGCACATACACGCATGGATGGACAGCATGGCCTGAAAGGTGTCAGGTGTGTGGTATAGCTGGAGAACTCAAATGTTTTGGCGTTTCCCAACTTAGTTGTAGCAACATGAGCACCACCTATTGTCTCAACAAAATGATTAACAACCATAACAGGAAATGAAAGGGGACAGCAAAAAGCAAGCACTCCCCCAACAACCCTCAACTAGCTGTATCTGTAACTAGCTTGTCAAATCTATACATATATTTATATATATATATACACAAGATTCAACACCAGCATACCGAAAAGGCTTTGCTCGCCTGCATCATACATCTGGACAGAAGGTATGCGTGGCCAAATGCGTGATCATTCTGCTCAGCTGTGCTTTGAGCTCGTGTTGAGGATCAAACAAAAATCAACATGGAAACGATGCAGGACAGACCCAGTCCGAAGATTAATTTCACGGCATTCTTCGTTGGTGTCAATTAAGTGGGCAAATAGACATGAGCGTAAGGAACACAGGAGCGACCAAACTTCAGTATCAGTGCCGTACTTTTTCGAACCATAACCATAGCCTCCTACCCCTGCAGAGTTGTGCAAGCGCGCGGTATTGCCTGCCAAGGAGCTGCTGCTGCATCACCAAGGTAAAAGCAAATGACCTTGATCGGATGACGTGAAGCCAAGCTAAGGTTGGAGGCCATTGCTATTCGGTTGGATTTCACCTCCCCGTTCTACATGTTCCTTCACGCCAGGAATCTCTGCCAACAAAGCTGGAGCAAAGTCAAGCGTATTGGGCATCGCCATCACTATTTCACAAGGACAGCAACATGACACGCTGTGACACGGCCACTGTTGTTCCCTGCTCCAGAGTGTCTGGCAGTTGGTGTGTCTTTTTCTGTAATCACAAGGAGCTCTCCAAAATTTTTGCATGCAAAAGACGCATTCCCCCCTCCTCGTCTTTCATCGTCTGCTGAATCCCGTCATTGCCTTAATCCGTTGATCCACCCCGTATCAGGCAGTCGAGGGGCCACCTGTATGGTCAAAGCGCTGGCCAGCTCGACAGAGCGACACTCGTCATCACCTCGTCGAATTTGATGCGTGGAGGCTGTCGGTTGATTGGGGATAGATTATCGTCTGCAATAAGTCTGTTTTTGCTTAAGGAATTACGGTGAATTGCAATGCTCTCCCGCAATTGGCAATGCTTTCGCTCATTCTTGGCAATGACGGGTTCTGCTGGTCATTGCTCCCGTGATTCGCGGCCATCTGTGCCGCTTGATGGTGGGTGGCTTCTGGTGTAGCTGGTTGCTCTGAACCTGGAGATTTGGTTGCAGTATGTTGCAGTCTTTCGGGGCTTCTTACAATCTGTGGACCGTCGCGGCTTCTAGGAATCTATAAATTGATACCTTGTAGAACCTGGTGCTGGTGATCGACGAATTGGACACGCAATGTGGCGTTGCGGGTTCTTTGCAGCATTGAAGGGGTGTTGGAAATACGAATGCTTGGAAAGCAATGTGGGGAATCGCCTCCTTCTATTGTCTAACGCATTCTTTCAACACAGGTGTCAACCCACTTCAGTTACTACAATTCTTCAGATTGATTTGGCCGCTCTGAGCTGCAGACATGATCCGTTTTCCTCCGACTCTTTTGGTGCCACTGCTTTTCGGACCTCAAGCAGTGAACCTCTCTGTCCCATCTCTCCCTTTGTGACTGGACATGCGCTATGAATCAGCTGAAGCTTGTCTTGACTGCAACACCCCCCAAAGGTCCACACATTGTCTTTGATCGCCAGTAGCATGTGGCTTGGAACCTCTGAAGGAAAATCAAAGAATGCCCTTCGAATTCCTTTTCTTGGACAACGGGCTACTTTTGCAAGTCCATCGATGAGTGGAGCTTGCTATGCTATGCTGCATTGACGATTGATGGAACCGAAGGAGAACGGCCTTGGGGAACTGTCGCAGAAAGTACATCACCTCAAAGGCGAGCATCTGACGCCTCAGCGTTGCTGAGCTTAACAATGCACGGCCTCCAACCAAACAAAGCCAAACACACCCCAAATCTGAAGCCATCGGGATGTGCACATGAATATTTTATCTATATATATATATATATATCTACACTCATTTATGACTGATATGAATGTGCCCCCTCTTTCCACAAGAAGACGGCGGAGGATCAATCACTCCAAGTGTCCCGTGTCGGCGGCGGCGCAAAAAAATCTGCATTACTTTTGCCTTGGTGCTCTGCATCGGATGCGGTAAGGTTCGCATCTCCCTACCCAACATGCCCCAACTAGGGACCATTACTTCGATACACTACTCGGAGGAATCGGCCTAGACTGAGGCCGCACAAGTTATCTGGGCGTCGATACCAACCTTGAAGGGCTCACGAACACTCACCTTTCCCGGAACAAGTGAACCAACAAAGGGATGAAGTCCAACGCAAAAAACAAATCTGATCTTCGCTGAAGTGCAAAATCCGTCTCAAGCTTCAAAAGCCCACTCCAGTCTTGAGTTGCAGCGCACTCCTCACTGAAAAGATTGCAACTTGCGCTTACCTCTCATGACCCTGGCAATGCCTATGCAATGTTTTGATCTGATGCACTTGCAAATCTTTTGTTGGGCTGGTGAGACGGGACGAAAGCGTGGAGGTCCTTGCAAAGGCTCTCACCGTGCTCATGCTCACCCAGGCTAAACGCCACAGCAGCCAGCCTAAAAGGAAACCAAAAGCAGAGTGGCTGGCCTACCGAGCCTTCGTGGGGGAGCCCCTCTCAATTCCTAAGAGGCCAGAATCAGGACAGACGTCAGAATGTATAGACCCACCGTCCAAAAGAGAATAGTGGACCCCTTCCGTGCACCACCCCACCACGCCCCCAAGATCGTGCACCATAAAGGGCCCTGGGCCATAAGGTCACCAAGCGGCTGTGTGGTCACCAGGGTACGATATGGAAAGAACACCTGGCGAGGTCGTCACGAAAGGACGTAGAAGTCAAGCACATCTGTTAACACCTGTGTTTTGACGAGAATAGAGCCACTTGTTACGTCCCTCAGCTCTGCCTTGTCCGAGTTCACTGAGATGTAAACGCAGTTCAAATGCTCATGAGCTTTTGTCCAATCCATCGAAATGAAGTGGAACATGCCGAGCTCATATCCTGAGTTACACCGTTCAAACGACAAAAGCCAGGCTCGGGCTGCCTGGGGCACGAGACTTTCCCACAACTCAAGTGACAAGGTGCTCAAATAGACAGCTTTCTCTCCAAGCTCCTGCGGCAACAAAAACACTTAAACACAATGTTTTCAATATGTTGTGGTTGGTGAACACGAATACACACATGCGACACCACAACCCTCCGCACATGCTGTGCGATTTAAGAACAAAAAGCATCTGGCTGTTGGTCTTTTTCGGGGGGGGGCCCTGAGACCACACCATTGCCTCTCCACAGCACCACAAAGCCTTACCAGTGATGGAGACCGCCTGTCACACAGGGCTACAGCTACTGCTTGACTTGGCGCATGTGATGGGCCATGATGACTCATGATGAGCAAAGAAACAATATACACACAACAGTCTTTACATTATTGTTCAGTCCTAACATGTCTAAACCTAACTATTCATCATTAGCACTGAGCTGCATCGGCAAAAATTCTGACCCAACTCAGTGGCCTGTGACACAAATGTATTTCTCCAAGCGAGGAGCGAGCCTGCCCCGACAGCACTGAAGAACTGTTGCCAACATACACAAGCACCCCTTAAGCAACCGGACAACTAAACTTCATTCCTGCAAATTACATGCACAGCAACATCTGCTGCTGTAGGTTATGGGGTCAGCCAACTTCCACGTCAATTGCATGTGGATCAACCGTAAGAGGCATACACAAGTTTACACTCATAGCCTGCCCAGTGTAGCAATGTATTCTCCGGTTGCCGTCCCAAGCTTGCGATCAAGATGTTGCCCGCGTGCTTCATGTCCTCAGCTGTCCAAAACTGATAGCCTCATTGGTGGCACCAGCCCCACTAACTCGAGACCACGTGTGGAAGAACAAAGGAATACGATGACTACACGACTACACTGTTTTTTCGGCTGCACAGCTTGGAGTCTGGCTCTGTCCCTCAGAATCTCACTGTATCAGACTAACGACTAAAACGGACATGTACATTCAGAGTGGCAATCACCTGCCACAGATCGCACGACCAGCCTGGGCATCTCGAGGCAGTGGTCACTGAGCTCGGGCTCCAAACTCAAAGCGGGTTCGGCTTAGCATCAGCGGCGGCAAGCATCACCGCTTCCAGGCTGCCAGCTGCACCCAGCTAGCTGCGTCGCATCGTTAGACCGTGAGCACTTCCACTTTGCGTTCATCTCTGTAGTCGCACTCACCCACCACATCTCGCTTCCGGTCAAACTTCACGTTGCCGCATTGGGTGACATCTACCTTCACTGCTCCAGAAAGCTTGTGCTTGGTGTTGTCGCGACACAACCGCGCACACTCGAGCTTCTCCTCCATTGTGGGGTCATTGCATTCCAGGATCACATAACAGCTGGGGAAGTCGGTAAGGTGAAAGAACCAATGCTTCCCCTTTGCGGCTGATAGTATGTTCCAGTTGTCCTGAGCATCTTGACCAATGACAACTCGACTTTCACCCACTCGTAGGCCTTCAAGCTTTCCCTTTTTCTTGTCCTTGGACTTCTTGGTCTCCTTCTCCTTGACCTCGGCGTCACCCTTGTATCCGGCTTTCGCCTTTGGCTTGGCTTTCGGTTCTTTCGGTTCTTTCTCTTCGGGTTCTGGGAATTGTTGGTGGAGCTCTTCAGGGACTTCAGACAACTTCACCTCCACGACATTCTGCGCCTCTGGATTCCCCGCCTCATTCACCAACAGACTGAAGCATACAAAGATGTTACCCCGTTGCTTCACAGCTTCAGGTCCAGAACCACTGGCAATGCGGCTCAAGGTGAGCTCTTCCACCGCCTCAGCACGCATGAAGATGTCTCGGCTGTACAATCCATGAAGCTCGGGACATTCCAAGAAACCAAAGCCGCGGGCAAAGTTGTAGCTCTTCACACGGCCAATATGAAGCTCGGAGGTTCCATGGGTTTTTGAATCTCCATTTGTTCCATGTGCCTTGTCAGCTGCGTCAGTTCCTTCCGCTGGGCCAGCCGCATCTACTGCACTATCTTCCGCCATTGGCTCACGGCATTCGACACATGCAGCGCACGCACGGCTTCGGTTCTCGAGCCGTTGGCCAAATGCAGTGATGCAAAATGTAAATGCCAACTTTCTACAAGTCCATAGGATTCCATAGGCCCAAAAAGAATTGAAAGCAAAGGACATTAGAAAACATGCTTTGCAGAAGCTGCACGCCCGAGCCCAACCCATGCCAAGTGGCAGGCTCCAAGTCGAGGTGGTACATAGCAAGCAGAATAGCCGCAATGGAACAGCGGGACCCAAGGGCGCGTTCCACACACTCGAACAAGTAAGTCTTGCCACGCTGGCGGTGCATGAGAAAGCCAGCCAAACGCACAAGTGGCACAAGACTCGTAGGAACCAGTGAGGTAGCCATGTAGAAGAAGCCCAGGCCAAACAGGATTCGCCCTCTCAAGTCATCGTAGGTCATGACGCAGTCAACGTCTTCTGTGCAAGCCCTCATGCTTGCATCATCCTCTAGGAATTGTTCCAAGCGGTAATAGGCATACCAACATTGCCGCAGATTGTACAGAGCGCGAAACCGAAATCCCAGGATGATTTGTAGCAAACTCCGCATCAAAAGCAATTCCGCATTGCAAACTTCATGGGCTAAAGTGCTTCCAGTGCTTCCAACGCCCTCGCTGAGCGCCTCCGCGACTTTGATGAGCTCAAGGGTAGACAAAGCATCGCTCTTCCGTCCTGTTAAGATTGTCCTGAGCATGAAGCACTCCGCAGCCCCACTGGCATGCCACAAATTGGAACTTTGCCATGGCGCCAAGAGGACCGAAGCTGCTTCCAGGTCATAGTTCCACATTAGGTCCATGGCCTTCCGGTATGCAAGTTTCGAGCCTAAGCTTTCAACCACTGCACGAAAAGAGTCAGCTTGAGATTGCCTCAATCCAGTAGAACGGGAGCTGCTGCTGTGAGACAAGGTAGGTGGTTCCAACTCTTCAGCCACTTGCGCTGACCAATCGGAGCTCCTACTGATCACCCGCTCCGTCTGCTGCGTCCGCTCCATTCTCCGCTCTGTCCGCCCGCGTGGGTCCGCGTCACGCGACGTCGTCCGCGTCTGCATCGCCGAGGTGAGCAGCTCCGATGCCGCGTGCGACGCCGGCACCTCCGGCGAAGTCTCCTCCGCGGGCAGTGGCGCCGGAGGCTCTGGTGCATGTCGGCGCTGGATGAGCGCCGCCAGCAAGGAGATCTCCTGACGGAGAATGTATTTCGCAGATGGATGCAAGGAACATGTGATATAAATGCTCACCAACTGTTTGACATAGAAATACTCTTGCAGACCTGCAGCTGGATGGTCGTCATTTTCACTGATTCAAGTCATTCAACAACCACCGAGCACATGTTAGTGTCATGAAAATCATATACGTAGAGTATTATAGAGTATCTTTGATGCCTGAAACGCATCTTCTGCAAATAATATATTGTTTGACAAAGACGTCCTCCGGAAAGGCACTCTTGATGAGCAAAGGACCTTTTCCAGGGCGGACTAATAGCAAGGTGGTCTGCGTCGCCGCCTTAGGAGTCAGACTTTCGTCATACCTGTCCCTTCATGTGCCCTCGCTGTTCCATGCGTGTTTGCTGCTCGCATGTTTTTTGCCATTGAGTTCAACCAGCACAGTGCCAATTCTAAGCTGGATACTTCCGCCTTCGACCACACCTCCATCTGATCATCATCTTGACCTCACAATTTGGTCAATTCTGTAAGTCTTTGCCCCTGACAGTTTAGAAAACTCCTGTCTTGCTGTGACATAACGAACTTCAAGGGTGGGTCGTCTCTAGATACCGCATCCCTGCATGGAGGCCTGCACATCATGAGTTTGGTTTAAAGTTCGCTGAGATTGTTCGTAATTCCACACGTATCCGTCGATTTTGTACTTCCCTACTGTCAAGGCCCTCCCGCCACACGTATTGCGCTGCTGCTGCTGCTGCTGCTGCTGCTGCCTTGTCTGGCAGTATCGACTACTTCCACTTGAGGAACCACCCGCAACGTGTAGCCGCCTCGCTCTATGTTCTTAGCTCGAGTCTGTAGTTGGCATGGGGTTCATTTGAATCTCACACAATAACATTGCTACACGTCGGATTTTCGGATTGTTTACATTTGCAACTTCCAACTAAATATAGCAAAGCCGCCAATGGTGCATTCTGCCAGGCTTACGCGTCCACGTGGGAACTTGGAGTCCTTCGTGGCATAGTAGACCAACTCATCCTTAGTTGTTCTTGGGTCGAACATGGTCACTTGCGTACAACATACGGCAGTACAGAATCAAGATGCCAATAACCACTCGACATGCAGAACTCGTGAGGTTTTGTCAGAAAGCTTAAGCGCCTGGAAAAGGTTGCAAAATCCCGCCATCTGGCCCGTTTCGAGTCTAGGTTTCCCTTCTCCGCTGCGTGCCGCCGAATCACACGCTCCACCTAGGTCTGAGATTTCATAATACAAATGAGGCTGAAGTGACGGAGTTCTCTGAAAAAGAAGTCATGGCTCATATCTCAAGACAAATGTCTATGTCTCAAACCGTCATGCGGCATTCAACATCTAGGTACAGTGAAACACACCAAGACAAGGGAAGCATTTGAAAGTGTCCGACATGTGCGCTGTCACGTTACAACTATATATATATTATATGTATAATATATACTAAATATAAAGCCTGGTGAATCAAAGGGTGCAATTACGTGGCTAGGGCTTGGGATCTTTCCTGACTCCTTATCTCCGTATGCTGAAGAACATCAAGAATTTGGTCAAGTCATGTCAAGTCGTCCAGAGGTGCGTCACTTCGTCATGGACGTGTCGCCACGGGGCCTGACACCATCTGGTCACGGTGCGGCCCGACCAGCAACCGCGCTTCGTGAGGAGCCTTCGCTGCCTTGGCCCGAAGCCAAAAAAGCGTCTTTTGAGAAGAAGCGCTTTCCAGTGCTTGCATTTTTGAGGAAGGCATGTCAATATGTTCGATGAAGAAGAGAGGTGGAAAAAACTATCCTGCTCAGTCAGACCTTGGAGAAGTCAGAAGAGAAAAAAAGAATTGAACATGAAGAGAAAAGCACATGTGCTCGTGGTTCTAGGCCAACAGGCAAGCCAGCCAAACGATGAGTTCTCCACTGGAAAGGCATCCAAGCTGCTTGAAAGCGAAGCTCCCAGAATCTTGGGTCATAGCTCTTGAAGTAAAAACATTGCATGAAAAAATCCCTCGGCCACTGGCCCAAGGCCAGTGGATGCGATAGGCACATTAGTTGTCATGTCATGTCGCATCCTAGCCACGCTTCAAGTGCCGCAAAAAATTGTCATATAGGGAGAGATTGCCTGCGTCGGTGCATGTATAATATGTATGCAGACGTGTCTATTTACACGTTTCGCATGTTCTTTAGGAGTTGCTAGGAGGCTTCTATGCTGTCAAATCCATTACTTGAGTGATCAAACTAAGTGGAGCCAAGTAATTGCAGTGATTGCATCAAGGCCCAAAAAGAAGCGACTAGGGCTCCTGGCATACTACTAGGGGCTCCTGGCCCCTAACACTGGGAGCAAGAAGCTACTAGGAAGAAAGGGCATCGCTACTCGTAGAGGTGCCAAAAATGTCCGAACGACAAGCGCAACAGAGCGAGCCTGACGAGATCGGCACAGCCTTGGCTCTCTTGTCAATGAAGAGATAGAACACTCAAGAACACTCTATGACTCTAGGGTTCCTAGGTTCTCTATCGTCGTTCTCTTGTCTGCATATTGGTACTGCACGTAAAGGCTTGCTTCCACATCATGAAGTCCTTAAGGAACCAGGCGTCCAAAACTGGCATGGCTGCTCCGATGTCTGGCATGTTCTCAGAGCATGAACCTGTGGAATGTTACCCAACTGGGGAATGCCTCCGCCGTGTGCCTACAGCATCCGTTGCTTCAACTTGCGCCTCTGTTCCATGTCGACATTTTAATTTTGGGGTTCCGCTGCAAAGCTGTGGGGGGGGTTCAGTTTGCTTCAGATATATAGCTCTCGTCAACTTGTGCATCAAAGCTTGAATTCAGTGCCACGATCGTTTAGCACACCAATACAGTATCTACAATCTCTCACAAGCATGGATGCTGGACATGACACACCCCTGTGTTGCGGAAAAAAAAGAGTATTGGATGTACAGCAAACAGGTGATGGCTCCTAACGTTGGCCAGGCCCGGCGGCCTTGTTCTCGTATTCCATCCCCGTTGAATCACAGCACAAAGAACTGGGTGCGCAACCCGGTCAACCCAAACAGCCTGGATAGACCCTTTTCTTGGCACAAAGTCGCCCCTGTGTTGTCCTTAGCCCTTCAGCCAGTGCCCCTGCGAGATTCAAAACATGTCAAAATAACAAATATGGCACTAAGATCCTGAATCGCATCAACATTAGGTCATTTTATGCGAACATCCTTTGCATTGGCACCCCTGAAGGGGAGATTGGTGAAAGTTGCACACTACTGGTAGTGTGAGCCAGGCTTCAAGCGCCATAAGCCCTGGGATTTGAGTGATTGCAAGAAGGCCCAGCATGGCACAGCCTTCCGCCGTTGGAGTGGGTTTGCACGAATTCGGTCGGTCAGTCTGGAGTTCTACGTCGAGTGCGTCGAGTGCGCTGCGTCAAGCACACAGCCTTTCGGGAGCTCTTTGAAGGAACAATGTCTGTAGAACAAAGTCTTTCAACAGATTGTCCTGTCCTTGGACAGGTCTTGCAACCAAAGCCACGCCTCGCAGCATCAAGCAAAATGAAATAGAACTATGACCATAGTGACTCCACATTGACTACAGTATATTCCATTGTCCAATGCCAGCAGTGGCCGGATGTGAGGCAATGTGGCGAATTCGTGAGTCAGTGTCGCACTAACCAAGCAAAGCACTGCAATTGGGGATGGTTCGGCACCTGGAAAGGAGCAAGGACGCAGGCTGTCGCAGGCTCAGAAAATCGAGAATCTGCCCCTCTAGCGTTCTTGTTACTAGTAGTAAGGCCAGGAGCCACTAGTGGCGTCCTAGTAGCGATGCCCTTTGCTCCTAGTAGCGTCCTTGCTCATCCTTGCTCCTAGTAGACGAAAAAAGACATCTATATATCCTTTTAGAATCCCACCTGCTGGAGCTGCCTTCTTCAAAACAAGGAAGAGTTTGAGAGCTGCTTCGCGCCAACGCCTTCGAGGTTCCTGGACTGTCAGAGCTGCCATGAGTAATGCAACATAATACAACAACAGGAATTGACACCCACAACTTAAGCTACTAGGAGCATTCGAAAAACCTATCACTTAGTCTAAGGAGTTGTCATGGGTGAGATTGATAAACATAGATTAGATGCATTGCCTGGTCCACACTGAGGCCCTGGCTGCACAAACCTGCGATCAAAGGTGGTGATCCAAAAACTTTACTGGTCTGGAACTGACCTTGTAGATGACTGCGCATAGTTGGTCATTTGGTATGCTTCTAACAATGTACATTGTTTTCTGACCCATTGGCATGCACTTGGCCAAAACATGCTGGGCCTTGAAAAGCGGACTGTGGCCACTTCGGCCCAAAGATGCTAAACGCCAAGGATCCTGAAGCAACTGTAGCCTCAGACTGATGGGTCTCTGGCTGCACACTAAGTTCAGGATCTCTGTCTTCTCGAACAATACTCATGCCATGGCCTTTTTACTATTTTAGAGTCTTGCCATAGACTTTGCTCGCCCACTAATGCGCAAGGCCAAGTAGCACAAACTCCAAAACCTAGGCAACGCAGCCAAGTAGAGGTACCCCGCTTTTGGGCACAGTGTGTGGGGAGAAATGATTTCAACGTCATTCAACTTTCACGCACAGGATTTAGTGTCTCTGTAAGGCGTTCTGGGAAGGTGGCAAAAATTCCACAGTCAAAGCTGTTGGATTGCTGGGGCACCTCGATGGAGACTGCCTGGAAAGCGAAGCACATCTCATGGCATCCCCCCCGCAACAAGCCTGGTTGCCAAACAATGAAATGGTTTTACATGGCTTTATGGCGAAGATGTTGATATTTGATATCTAATTGTCTCCCATGGAGCCCGATGTTTGGAAGAGGTGTGGCCTGCACCCTCGAAGGCTGAAAGGTGCCGAGCGCGCCGCAAACACGCCACTCACATTCCAGGTAGTCCCGAAGCTTCTGAATCACGGCCTCCTGCAGGTCAAGCGGCAAGGAGCTCCAATAGGGTCGGAGTGTCTCTTCGGCAGGAACTTGAATCAAAAGCTGACAAAGACTTAAAGACTCTAAGTAATTTGTAGCGCTATTAGGTTGGAGGCCATCGCTCCAGGGGTGGAGGCCATCGCTATTAGCGTCCGATCGCTCCTAGTAGCGATGCCCTTTGCTCCTAGTAGCGTCCGGTCGCTCCCAGCAGCTCTGACTTTTCAGAGGCAGTTTGTTCAGACTCTCTGGTCCTGTTGGAGCTCACTCTTGGGCGAACGCAATGAATCCAGAAAAGCCACTGTGGTGTTGGAGCTGCTCGCCTCATGTACCAAATAGGTTTCTCAAAAGCAGGAAAAGGAAATATGAGTAAAAAAGCAAACAAACCAAAAAGGTAAGGGATGGTAAGGGTCCCTTTAACAAGGCCCCTTCAAGGAGGCCGAAAGGCCTTATCAAAGGGGCTCTTTCCTTCTCTTTAGTTAGTTTTTGTCGTATATCTCTGGCTTCTGGGAGAATGGCCCAATTGTCCACATCGATGGATGCCCAGGGTCTACACACCTCGAAGTGCCGTCAATGGATGGGGTGGGCAAGGTGGGCAAAGCAGGCAAAGCTCCTCTCTGAGTTCTCCATTGAACTAGGCAAACGGCAACAGCCAAAGACCAATGGCACTCTTCCTTCACCGAGGGACGTAGGATGGACTCAACATGTCTCTTGGACTTCAAGATGGCACAAGGCCCTACGTCCAACAAATGTGCTAGCTGCTATGCTCTCTGCCAGCTGCCAGCTCTTGAACAGCAAACCTCTGCGCAAATGTGGATTCATCCAAGCGCTAACAGCCTCGTGGTGCAGCGGCACCAGCAGGTAGTCGCAGGAGAAAATCCCTGTCACGTGCCGCCTGCGCACCGCCCGAGTCCAGGTTCTCACCTCGCAAAGAAATGTCACAAGTCTCAGAGCGCACGTGTTGCGCATGGACTGCGCCGTTGACTACGCATCATGGAGTTCAGTGTTTCCGCTTTGCATGTATATACATCTGAGCTGCTGTGACGCCCGAGGGTCACCGGTTTATTCTTCAAACACCTGTCATTCGCCCAAGATGGCCAACCATCAAAGTGGGCTCCTAAGATTGCCTTAGTAGCCTTTCCCATCTTACTTGTAGCTTCTTGCTCCTAGTAGTAATGCCAGGAGCGCTGCTAGTAGCTTCTTGCTTCCCTTCAGAGTTTGCGACGAATTGATTGATCAACTCTTGGGCCATGAATGGTGAAACGTCAAAACGTCACACTTTGAGGCCACTGGCTCGCTGCCATCCCTGATCCATCGGCCTTGAATGATGAACTCGCATTTCTACAACAGCTCGCCTGCAGTATGAGCTCTGGACGGGGTGTCGCTTGTCTGGCCTGCCTCTTTGCTGGCCTCGGCTATAAATCATATCAATCTTCTTCAGCTGTTTGCTTGCCAGCACAGGGCATCGCTACTAGGAGCAAGGACGCTACTAGGGGCTCCTGGCCTAGGAGCAAGGACGCTACTAGGGGCTCCTGGCCTAGGAGCAAGGACGCTACTAGGGGCTCCTGGCCTAGGAGCAAGGACGCTACTAGGGGCTCCTGGCCTAGGAGCAAGGACGCTACTAGGGGCTCCTGGCCTAGGAGCAAGGACGCTACTAGGTTCCTCACTCTCTATGCTCTTTGCTTGCTAAATCTTTTCTCTTTGCAGAGACGGCGCGCAGGGGGGGGAGGGCAGGCTTCGTCGCATGGCGGCTTCGCCGCGCGAGGCTGCCCATCACCCGAAGACAGGAAGACTTCCGAAGATCTTTCGGTGTCAGAGTCGAGTCACGAGAGCCAGAGTCGAGTCGGCTGGAGGGTGCATTTGTCCCCTCAGTCTGCCAAAAGACCTGTAGACGAGATGAGTGCCGCTGCTAGGCCACCATGAGGTTCGTCTGCAAGCTCGTAAGTGGTGTCCTGTCCAAAGGCTGAGACCAGGTATGACCAATCAAAGCAGCAATACAGCTGACATCTTGTCCTGCAATGGCCGGGCAACAGGGCCTGAAAGAGAGCTGTACTTTCAACATCTTTCAACAAACCAAAGCTGGGTTGACGTGCAATCATAATCAAACAAACCAAGAAGAAGACCCGAGGCCGTGACCATCTTTGTGCTTCCACCCGAAGATGCCTCCACCTCAGACCCATTGAAGGCCACTCTTTGGATTCACAACTCCAAAATGGACAACAAAAGGGATGCATCGCTGCACCTCTCGGATCCCACCCCCCCCAGATCCAGACCAAGGGTCGAAGTCTTCTCACCCGCTCCACCTTGATGGTTTGGTGACCTGCCCGTAGAAGCCACCGGCAGAAGGCCCTGCAGCGAGAGAATGGAGTAGCGACTTCACCTGCCCACAGCGCTGCGCCAGAAACTTGCAATTTTGTTCACCCCTGTTGTACGGATCCTGCTGGTTGAAGAGGACTTGACTTCAATCAATGACTAGGTTCCGAAGGTTCTGAGTTTTGAGCTCCTTACCTTTGTTTGGTCTTTCAATCAACCTGACTGACGAGGTGCTGTAAACTATGATAGGCTTCGTTCTGTGCTTCCTTGGCTGGCTGGAAACCAGCATCGAAAATCAGTACTGTATTTGCATCATTGCATCACGAGTCAAAAGTATGCCGACAAGCTTCAAAAGCTTGTGGATGAGCTGGTCATCCGCTGCCATGAAGACATTTACCAGCCCATAATCCTCAGCAGACTTGTCACAAAATTCCGGGCTCTAGCCTTTGTGGCCTTCTGCTGTCCGAAACCAGCCACGGTCAAGGTGCAATGATTTCTGGCAAAGGCGTGCAGTAGGCGTCAGCAATGTGGCCAGCCACAAAATCTCTGCGGTCCCGCACGTCAATGAAGATGACACCCTCCTCAAGGTTCTTGACTCACCAAGATACAAAGCCCCACCCAGCACCCAGCCCGGCGAACCATTGATCCACGGATTCCCTTATGTAAAAAGCGATAAACTGGAGCCCTCATTCAAGCCTGCCTGCCTGCCTGACCCCTTGAACCAGCTACGGCTCTCCTCTTCTTTGTGCAATCGCTTGGCAGTTTCCAGCCCGATCCACTTCACCTCCCCCACATCCTCAGAATCCATTTCGCGTTTGCATTGTCGTCCGAGTGGCCTAGGGCATTCCACGGAATGCTTTCTGGCAAGAAACTCCACCAAGCCCATCGGAGATCCACATTGCTCCATATTCGTCAAACTGCTGGCCCTCAAATTCAGCGACCTGCTTCTCAATTTCGGGCACCGTGGCTTCCCACCACCACTGGAAGAGTTCGTCTTCCTCTTCCTCGTCAAAGGTCACCTGCTCCTCCATGTCCGGGGTGAGTTTTCCCAGAATCCATAGCAACCTCCTTTGTTGTCGAAGGTCCATCAAGGTCTCGAAGGCTCCATAGACTTTACCTGTCAAAATGAGCTCAGTTCCCACAAACTAAACAGCTACAGCAAAACATCCTAAGCATTAACCTGAAAGGCTTTGGCAACTTGTTTAGCAACACTCAATCATAAACGCGAATGCTACAAAGTTCCAAAACAGCGAAAGAAATGCTGTCTCGTTTCAGGTAAGTTGCGGAAGGCATCCGCCGATTGAGGATGCTGGTTCCTCAGCCGCGTGAAATGATGTGATTGAGCCTTGCAAAGCCTCCTTCTGCTTCGAGCCAAACAGACTAGCTTTGGCCCCTCCACACATGTTAGAAACATCATGACTCCGCGCAACCAGCAAGTGCTTCAATGTTCATTTTGAAGCGTCTTATCTGGATGAACAGCCAGCGAAATCTTGCGGTAGGCCTTCTTCAGCACACTCATGTCAGGAATGAATTGTGGAGTGAGATCCAATACTTCGAAATCATTCTTTGCTTCGAGCACTCCTTACCAAAGTGACAGGCAAAACGGCCCGAATGTTGCACACCAAAATCATCAACTTGCATTGCCCGGACAAAGTTCCAAAACAGATTCATGATCTTTATGAGTTTGGGTTGCCAAATGGTACGGCCTTTTCAAGCTCGCGACGACGTAGCGCAGCATAGCCAAGGCGCTCTCAATGGCTTTATCGTACCAGTACTGCGGGTCTAGTCTAACCTCAAAATGCTGAAGGCGAGGCTGCAGGCAGGATTCAAGCTTTTGTTTGTTTGCTCCCTCTCTCTCTCTCTCTCTCCCTCTCTCTCTCTCTATATATATATATCGCTCTCTCCCTCTCTCCTATCTAAGACAGTTTTTTTTGGTTTTAGGATGTTTTAGGTCAACTTGTGAAGTCCTACTACTGCTTAGGGCGTGAGAGGTCTTGGACTTCACTACTCTTATTTATGTGCTTCACCTTGCTTCGATGGTTTCCTCAAGTTTCCTTATGTGCATTTTCCGGAAAAACAGTTCTTTCGGTTTTCTTTTTTTTATTCTTTCCTTTTCTCTGCTTCCTCTTCCTGCTTTCTTTCAAAACCTCTCTACTCGCACTTTTTTAAAAAAGAACATACAAAAACATGCTTCCTCAAGACTTGCCTCGTACAGTCTCCTCTTTGCATCGCCAGCTCCCAACAGAACGATCTCGTCGCCATTCCCGACTTGGTCTCGCTCGATCCTCAGACCAACAAGGTGACTTGAAACTTGGAAAGTGGAGCAAAACTCCAGGCAGCGCAGGCCGCAGGCTTCTTAGTAACAAGAAGCTACTAGTAGCAAGGACGCTATTAGGTGCAGGCCATCGCTACTAGTTACTAGAAAACTACTAGTTACTAGTAGCGATGGTCTCCACCTAATAGCGTCCTTGCTACTGGAGCAAAACTCCAGGCAGGGGGCTGGTCTGGATGAAGTTCCACATTGTCCTGCTTCAGGAGCAAGATGGTGGCTCCCTCAGATTGTAGGCCAACGGCTTTGTCACTCAGAACCACCACCTTCCTAAGCTGAGTGGCAGGCGGGGTTGAATCACGAGTGAAAACTGAATCATAATCAGAACACAAATAAACGGACTCCAAAATAAAATAGTTTGTGAGTCTGAGCTGTGTCGGCGCCCTCATGAAGAAAAAAGGCAAAGGCTCACAGAATATCTACCTGTTGCAGGATCAAAGCCCATGATCGCTCCGTTCTTCCCATTGTACTTTTGGTGCTCTTCACCTTGTAGGCCAAGGATGCGAACCTTCTTTCCTTGGCAAAATCTTGTGATGAAAAATCTTGGGCTACCAGCGGCTACCACACTTGACTCGCCACACTTGACCTTCATGCCAAGCATCCTGTGCCAATTTTTTGCTGGAAACCGCCCGCTTTGTGAGAGGAACTTTGAGTTTCATGTCCTTCACCTTTCCGGACGACCAGCTCCTGCAGTGGTCGTACAGGCGCAGAAAAGAAACGGGTCACAACGCCAACAACACAAGTTCCCCAAAGATCGGCACGATCGGAAAAAGAGAGCCGAAGCTTGAAGCAAAACATAGGCATACGCACACGCACACACATATGTATATATATGTATAACACTTACATCTATATTTATATAGAGGGCCACCAAAAAAAAAAAGAGGCAGCTCCATTCTTACGCCACACAAGTTTCAAGACTTACATTCTGAAGTACACGCGGTGAGCCATACTTGCTGAACCCTGTACAATGGCTGAAGATGGTGAGCTGGTTCCTCGCTTCACTCTGGACGCTCGTTGGCCCACGGCAGTGCTCAGTGCTGAAAAAAAACCTAATTACAAATACGTACTCTACCTAACCAAATATACTGCAAAAACCATCAAAAAACACACTAACCACAACCAAAAAACATCTACAAACTTCTACACCTCTAAACGGAGAAGAAATCAAAGGTCGTTTAAGCCTTCACCCTGCAGGGCGACATACAAATCTCAACACACTAAGCAAATCGGTTAACCCTCACACACCCAAACAGGGAAGCTCAGCCAAAGTGACGTCCAACAAAATGTCGGATCTTTGTGCGTTGTATAATGCCTCGACCAATGCAAAGCAACCAGAACTTGGTATTAAATACCGCCGGCGCATGTCCTTCGGCCCAACCCGGACAGAGACCTTGCTTGGCAAAATGGGGATCCAGGATTCAACGTTTAATCGAACTGTCTTCTACGCTCTTTGACATTGGACTTGAACATCTGGTTTTCCATCATGCATGTTTTCCAAGCATGGCTGGTTTGGCTCTTTCCATAATTCCAAAGTTTGCGCGAAGGGAGAACTTGCTGAGTCTTGCACCCACCCTTGCTCTGGGCCTTTGCCGCTATGACGTTTGTAGTGGAGCCGCTCCCCAGCCAAGCAAAGCTCCTACCACGGCTGACCAGCACGGCTAACCGCCATGAGTTCAGACTATATTGTATATCTGAGTTTGTATTGAGCTATGGAACACCCACCGGGACAAGCTCGGTTGCTTTTGACCACATATATATATATATATAAGTGCCTGAAACGCAGCGTCAGTGGTCGATGCCTCAACCAGCGCGCCAGTGGAAAGTCGCTCAGAATGCTTGGAAGAAGTGAGCTCTTGACCACTGCGCACCAGAATCCCACCTCGCACTACTGGGAGCAAGGGCGCTACTAGGTTGGGAATGGTCCGCTACACGCGTCTCAACTCAACGGGACTTGAAGGCATTTTCAAGCATTCTGGGTAGTGATACTCAATTCCTTCCACCACTCCGACAGTTCAGCAGCCCAAACACCTGTGTCAGCCCCACCAACCACTTCCCACAGCAGCTGCACCATTGCTAAGGTTGTGGAGTGTTCTGGCGCTTTTCGCGTGAGTGTTCTGAAGGGTTGGAACTCTTGGACGACAAACAGTCGCAACGCTGCATGGCCTGCATGTCTCAAGGCTCAACAAGGATTTCAATAAGATTTCATTGTCCCTGCTTCCCCATCTGTGGAAGAACTGTTGGAGCCAGGCTTTGAGAATGGGAATTCCGGCAAACTGCGGAACACAAGATGCTCCCAACCTAATGGCAAGGATTACACCTATTTAATAGCAATGGCCTCCAACCTACTAGCGATGGCCTCCAACCCAAAACGCTGGAAAATCGAAATTCGAAAGATTAGCCGGCATCACCGAGTGCAACATTTTCCTCGCTAACATATCCTCTCCACGCCCGCTTAAACATTATGCGTTCTCAGCCACCAACTTTAAGGCTAAACGCATTCGGGTGTGAAAGGATGTCACTGCGATTCATCCCGGCCCTTGGCTGCTTTGTGCACGTTGCCGATGCGGATGCTCATCATCGGAGTCACCTCCGAGAAAAAATGCACGGGGAGGCCCACAAACATGGATACTGGTCTAGTGGCTCTCCATGGAAACGGCAAAAAGCGGTCCAGCCTAGATCAAGTTCTGTCGATGTCTCTGTCATCAAATCGCTGGTCAATGTTCTTCGTACACCTTGGCAGCACCCGCAGAAAGTCTTGAGGCTTCACTGCCGACATCTTACAATCATATCATATCTCTCAAATCGTTTGTTTTCATGGTTTCCTGACCCCAGCTAAGTTGACCGAAAGGGTCCGAACGTGTTGGAATGGTTGGGGGGGGTATGTGCGGTATGTAGGCAAAAAACAAACCACTTTTGAGTTTCGGACCCAATACTTCTTCATCTTCACAGTGGCAGAGCTGTCGGGCCAAGCGTTTGGCAAAGGTTGGTGCCAGTATGTAGCATTCAGCCTACAGTCAAACAAAGAAAACACATCAGGCTACGAACGACTGAGACACGCACATGCTAAATGACATCAAATGACACTGCAGCTGTGCCAACTCATGTGCCAGAAAACATGGGTGCGGAAAGAAAGAAACACAAGCAGGAGACTGAGGAGACGGAGCAGAGAAAAAAATGCCTACCCAAAACGCTAAACCCAAATCTGAGCTGCACTGTGCGCATGCACCTCCTCAGTCACTTCGAAGGCCGTTAGGCTCGTTCCAGCTGTGCCAGCTGTGGCCTCCATCGTGGCATTCACAGGGCCCCGCAGTCCCAAAGCCTCCGACATCGCGGAGGTCCGGCCAGTGGAGAAAAAGGCGTCAACGCCTTCCCCCAGCCGGAAGTATTTCAGCAGCACCGAGTCCTGCAGGGCGGCAGTCCGGTATCCATTTGGAAGTAATGCACGTTCTCGAAGCTAGCGGCATGAGGTGTGAAAAGGACACATGCATGTATCATTCTTTACCTTAAAGCTGATGAAATCTATTGAAATCTGTCCAGAGATCTGGACATTGTTGTATATAAGTACATGCCATCCACATGCACCCGCATGCACTGCGGCAACTATGGAGGTCGGCCACCGTCACGCCACACCTTCTGAGAGTAGAAGACATCGATTTGGGCTGCCGACAGCCTGATCATTCGTTCGACGGACAAAACATTACAAAACTGGAACAGAACTACCTACCTTTTCTGCTCGTAGTCCTTGAGCCCTGGGCCCTCAGTGTCACGACCCCGCAATATTGAATAATTAGCATGAAGTTATCAAAAAAAACACCAAGCCTTGAGAAAGGCCTTGTGAAAGGTGTGCTGTTACACATACCTTCGAAGCGTTCCGATCTCCAGGCCTTCGAAGAGGGAACTCACCCTCAGGCTCCAAAGCCTCCCTGGCCACTGCACCGCCCAGCAGTGCCATGTACCTCACACGGCTCAGCTATGTTCAGTTACCTCGCCAGTTCAAAAAAGAACCGTCCTCTCCTCACATCCTTATCCGGACCCCAAGATCATCCAAATTAATGTCAAGCTGCTTTAGCTGGACACAGGTCTCTCTGGCCTCTTCCAATTCCAGTAAGGCGGCCATGGCCACTCGGCACCCCAGGCTGTGTGCTACCACATGCACCGAGCACCCAAGTTGTGACAGCAGCAGCAGCAATGTCGCGAAATACTGGGCAGAATCACAGGCATGTCCACCTGCAAAGACCCGTTGCTCAGCTTTCCATGAGTTTGGACCAGTGGAAAACCCTTTGAAGGTGCCGTACCTCGATGTCCTTTGCTTTTGTCTATATAGGCGTTTTGTCTTCACTTGCCTTGCTGAGGCAGGGACGGGCTTTCGAGTAGGATTTCCGTTGCCGGTGCGAGGGCCACACGAAGGAGAGGATCAAAGCAGATTGGGCACAGGGAAGGTCCTTTGTCAGTTGTCGCAAGGCATAGGAGGTTCTTACCACTCGCATAAGGTTGAAGCGGAACCCATGCCTTGGCTGACATCGCACAAAAGCCCAAGCGGGAGACCGACTGCTTGATTTGCAATAATATGCCATCGCTATGAGGTTGGAGGCCATCGCTAGTAGGTTGGTTCCACAAAGTTTTGTCCTCTTAATGCAAGGACACTACTAGGAGCAAAGGGCATCGCTACTAGGAGCAAGAAGCTACTAGGGGCTCCTGGCCTAGGAGCAAGGACGCTACTAGGAGACACCGAGTTGCACGAAGACCACGACATCTCGTCCTCTCAGAGCATCTGGAAACTCGGACGCATGAAGAGCTTCACGGGTCGGAATCCTCGGATCCATCCACTATAGAGAACCTGCCCATACCTGCCCCGAAAGAGACACATCCGAGGCCGCGAAAGGCCCCCACCCCCAGTTGAATGGCAAGGCTGGCAAGTGTCAGCCAACACTTCGGCACAAAGGGAAGCAACATCTTCAAATCTGGAGTGTTAGCCACCTCTGTGCGACCTCTTTGTTCCATGTCCGCTCTCGAAGCAGCGTGCAGCACATTGAGCGGTACATGAAGAAATTGCTTGATGTGTGCCTTGGCAACTTGGTACAGTAGCACAAGCCTTTTCAGAACAATCTTGCTATTTACATTCAATGTCTTCCCTTCACTCACACCAAACAAAGTGCCGAACTGTGGCATCTCCTCAGTTGGATCTAACAGCTAACACTTGCCACAGGAATGTATTGCTTATTTATCGTTCATCTTCGGCATCAATTTCTCGAACCCCCAAATCTCTCCGCGTCATGGCATGGCACCATATGTCTTGCCAAATGTCTTTTGCTGCCCTTGAGGTATTTGCAGTTTGGACCTTTGTCACAAAATTTTCGACAGTCGGGTTGGTACAAAGCGAACCTTGGCACAAGGGTACGTGGCCGAGCAGGTGCTTTATGGCAAGCAAGTAATAGTGCAAAGCCCACTACAGTAATTGAATGTAATTATATAATAAGATTGGTACAGGACTCCTTCAATTTAGACTCTGCCAGCCCAGACGCTCTGATGCAAACTTTGACATCGTATCAAGCTTGAGGCAGCTTGCCACCCAAATCCCCTCATCAAAGATTGGATCTCCGAGTGCCACCTGGCCAACGAAGTCGACGCCGACAGCCTCCTGACTTGTCATCCAAGTATAAAACGAAGAACCGGCCTCTTCACATGAGGGTTGCTGTCCCATTGAGCTGATGCAGCTCTCGTCTCTAGGTCTTCTTTGGATGGAACTTGCTAGGTGATGCTAGAGGTGCTGTGTCGCTTTTTCTTGGCTCAATGTGAATTTTTATTTGTGCATTGTCTGTTAGGGCGCTGTGAGGTTTCAACTGATGTCCTCTCCCGGTTGATCTTGGGCATTCAGCAAACCCTGTGTCGTCCATGTGCTCCGTACCAATTGCTTGCAAACGCTGGCTCCGGCAAGAAGGTTTCTGACAGCTGAACTGACTGGCTTTTGAGACACTTGGCTCCCGAACAAGCCTGGCATAGAAGTGTGAGCTGAAGGCATGCACCCGCCTTGGTGTAATTACTCTGCCAGCTCCCTCTCAAAATGGGAAACGTAGATTCTCAGGGGTCCCTATGGTTTCCTCATTGGAGTCAAAAATGCACGTGATCCAAAAGAGTTTGTTGGATTGGTCCCTATTGTTTGGCCCTTTTTCGTCCGTGTACGGAAGCATTGGGACTTCACGTCAAGATTGGCGAAATGGCACAACACGGGCCCAAATGGGGGCAATTGGTTTTGGGAACCGAGCGGCTTTGGCACGGCCACCGCTGCCATTTGGCAGATGCCCGGGATGGACTTATAGTGACTTATCCCACCTGCACCCTCCGTGGCTGTTCAAGCTGGTTATGGCTGTGGACACCTGCGACACCTGGAAAGGGATCGAAAGGGATCAGTCGGGATCTAGAAGTTGAGCACCCACAGAGCCTCGAAGGACCTTGAAGGACCCTCAAAGGATTAAAAGGGTGGTGAAACATGGAAGATCTGTCGCCAAGGCAAATCAGGGTGGCCACCGGTTCAGTTGTGCCTTTGGCCTGCTTTGGGTGTGCTTGGATTCAACATTGGTGGACGGGCTTAGCCTGGTAAAAAGCGGAATCATGAAGTTCTCGTGGCGGCCACCCATCCAGTCTGGAGTCTGGATCTTTCTTGTCAAATGTGCCGCACACAAGCTCAGCAGAGCCAGGCCCTGAGCACGAAACTAGTTGTAAATGTCCAGTTTGGGAAAGAGTGGCTTCAGGGCTGAAGCTTCGGTCTTCACTGTGTAGTCCATGATTTCATCTATCACACCCTTGTTGGTGTGATAACGGTTGTGCCAAAGCATCCAGTTGACCTTGACACAAGCAGCGGCGTTCACGCTTCGAATCACTTCTGCTCAAAAAAGGAATTCATCAATGATGATGGTGAAGATGAGGCAAGCTTCAATTTGACAATTCCCCCTCTGCAGTGAAGCCACTGTGTTCCACAAATGGCCTCCAGATTTATTCTTCCAATTCCAATAGATATGCTCAATTCCATTTACAGAGCACTCTTTCCAAGTGCCAGTGAGGCAAGGATTGCCGGTGTCCCACGTCATGTAGGCCTTTGCTCTTTACCGGGCCACCCGCTCCCAAACAACTCATTGACGGCTCTTGCTTCTGTAAACAACAAGAATCAACATCTCCAGCATCAGGGACTCTCTGATACCTCAGAGTCGTTTGGCCTGCTGCCTTCCTTGCTGTCCAAGCATCCTGTTTTGGAAGCCAGTACGCTTGTGAGGGCTTCCTCGAGTTGCACTCCTTGATGCACTTCTTGCAATTCCCCCAACTATGAACCTCAGTGCAACACATCGAACAATTGAGAAAAAGAACAGCAAATGGGGATCCTGCAATGAAGCACCTCGACTTAGTCTGGTGCGAGGCATTGGTTGCTAGGATTTTCAAGGAAGGAGGAGTAAGTGTAGTAGTCGAGCTCCGGCGCGCTTCCACCCCAGGTTCCTCCCGGATCATTCCAACTCCAGATGAGCTTGTATATAAATTAACAATCACAGACTGGCTGAAGGCATGGCAGTGCATATGCCTTCAAAAACCAGCACGTCACGGACCCCACCTGCTGCTGCAGCATGTCCAATCCAAATGGCGAAAAAGCTTAGGCTTGAGTCACCGAATGAAAGGCCGGCACCCCAGGGGCCAATGCCGATTGACTTGACCACCGTCTTTAACCTCACCACTTTGGCATCGCTTGTTTTTAAAAGATGGAAGTGAAGAACTTTGACAAAAACACAAAGTTGCATCAATAATGAGTGTGTATATATATATATAAAAAAATACATACATACATATATGATATTACAATACTATTTATATGAAGATGTCATTTTGAGTCATATGGAGTCTGGTGATGAGTCATTCAGGATTGCAGCCAAAGTTCATTGGCCAAACATCAGGATGCTGAGATTCAAGAGCCATGCCTCATGAACATCGTGCAACACTTGAGTTTCTGCAATTGAAAATGGCAAAGCGTCCTTCACCTACACATCGGGAGATGAAACTGAATGGTGATGACAAACTTAGTGAACGAAGACGACAACGTAGACTGTTGCTCAGGGGTTAATCCTCAACGAAATAGAAACACAAATCTCTTGTCAAACGAACAAGAAACACGTCGGTTCCCGTGGCCTCGGTAGTACTGGACGACCTTGCGGTTGAAGGATAGCGGACCGCCGGTGGTGTCCCTTTGCCTGGGGCGTGCCAACAAGCCATGGTAGATTCACAGCACAAAGCGGAAGCGGCCACACACAGTACCCGGTCTCTCTCTCTCTCTCTTTCTAGGTTGGAGGCCATCGCTCTTAGGTGGAGGCCATCAATAGTAGGTTGGAGGCCGTTACAATTAGGTTCTCTCTCTCTCTCTCTCTCCCGTTCGTCACTCTGAAGATGGCCCTATTTCGCAAACAGGCCACTTTCCGAGGCGGTTGGTGCGTGCTAAGTGGACGTCGTCAGGAGACAAAGACATGCCAAGGAGATCTTCGGTCTCCCCTGAAAATGCCACGATCGGCTTGCTGCCGCTGACTTTGAACTTTGAGGAGACAATCTGCACATCCACTAAGTCGCTTGTGAAGCGCACTCCTTTCAATGGCTGAAGGGTGGCGTTGGACGACAGGGTGGCATCCTCAATATCCAAAATCGGTCGAGCACCCACAATCCAAGCAGGAGTCGGCACCTGTGGACTTTCTTCGTTGGTGAGGAAGAGGGACAGTGCGGTTGCTTCGGGCATATAGACGGCCACATGCTCACTTTGCCCACCTCCTATTGAGCAGGTTACTCCATAGATGTGACCTCCCACGGTCTTTTGGGTCATGACTTGCATCGCCTGCCCTTGGGGCCCGTCCGAGGTCATGAAATCGAGACCTCGCTTGCCAGACTTGGCCTTGCAACGGGATGGTGGAACCGTTGGAACTCCTCCAGGCACTCAGAAAAGTGAGTGTAGGAAAGGTATTAAACAGCTTGGGAATTGCTTGGAGGGAGGAATATACATGAATATAATATACTTGTCATTCTCGTCTTTCTATTTTATGATCCTTTACGTTTGTTAATTCTGTTTTCATATTTTTTTTTGTCGACGTTTCTTTCCTCCCTTTCTGCCGAAGGATGATATGATACACGAATTTGTTGCCTGAACCTGCAGGGTCACATTTGGCATGAAGGACCGGCCCGGAGGCTTCCTAGTAGCGTCCTTGCTCCTAGCAGTAAGGCTAGGAGCCCCTAGTAGCGTCCTTGCTCCTAGTAGAAATGCTCGTCCCTACAAATAATCCCCACTGGTGCGTGGAAAACAACCCGGCTCCTGCTAGAGCGCTGCCACCACCACCGTCGTCATACCGACAGACTCTCAACTTTGCATCACTCAAAGGGTACGCATTGGTGGCATCTTTCAAGAGATCATCGGGTGGAATCTCGGCACAAAAAGAACGCTTCTCAAGTATGTTTGGCACTTGTTAGACTGGCCACACAAATGAGATGCAAAATGACAAGGCAGTTTGCAAGAATTCTGAACCTTGTTTCTGAAAGCATTCCTCTTCTGTCCAAGGTTCTACTTGAGAACCTCTGGCAACGACAACTTTTGGGCCTGGCTTCAGGGTGCCCAGCGATATGGCATCATTTGGACGCTTGACCCTCCCACCTTCGGCACCATGAGCCAGTGTGGGGTCTCTGGAACATGCAGCAAGTAGAGTCCAGAATGCTCGACCGTAGCCATCCTTTCGAGGGAGGCAACTTCCGGGTCCTGCAGCTGTGACACCTTCTAACTTGTCAGACTTGTCACTGTATCAATCTGCACTGCCCTTCATGCTCTACCTTGAAGAAGAAATGCAACTGACCGAGCCTGGCTTGCTCAAGAAGCTCTTCCTTGGTGCAAACAACACCAAAAACAATATCAGCTGGAAACGCTGCAGTGCGAGGAAGCTACAGTGCGTTCTTGTGTGGGCCGCTTTCACTGCCTGCAGGGACTGGCCGGTCATCACCATGTCAAACTTGCAACCACATTATCGGCACATCCTGCCTATGAGGCTTTTGGCGACAATGTAACACACTTGCCGTCTGGAGTAGGCAATATACCTAAAAATACAGCCGGAAATCTAGAGGGAGAGACTCAAAACAGACTCTCTAAATCCTCGAGCGATAGTGGATTCGTCGAATTATCTTTTTTGGATTCACCTCTCCTGCCACCGAGCCACTGCTTTTGTTCTAAGGGCGCTAGCCTTGAAGCATTGCCCTGCCTTGGAAGGTGACAAACTGAGCTCGCTAACAGCTAGCTACAAGTGGATTCCAGAGCTAAAGCGTCCAAGAAACGTCCAGGGGATGCTAATCGATCCCTCACCGGAGGTCAGCAACTCCTCCTCGATCCATTTCACCAGTCCTCGTGATTCCAAGTCTGTAGGCCCTACGCCCAGGAAAAGGGCCTAACCAATTCTAACAATGCGGCCACAATCTGTCTAGGGCCTCCACCCTTGGCACCAACCTGCTGATTCGGGTAAGTGCCCTCCGTAAAGGCCAAGGAGCTCCAAAATCCGTCTGACAGGTGCGTGGCTGGTGTCGCTCCCATCACGAACTCTCAGCACCCGTTCAAAGCAAGATCCACACGAACTCTCGGGACAAGCACCCGTTGTGTGGAGATCAAGCACGACAGCCTGCCTGGAAAATCATGCTTTGGGAAGGCATCGTCGAGCGCTTGCTGAACCTCGCAGCAACACCAAAGTCCTTTCAAATCCATGAAGTCGGTATATCTGTGTTGCTCTGAAGTGGGCAAGGCGCAGAGCGTTCAGGCTTGCCCCACTTGACCGGAAGGAGGTAGCCCACATTGCTAAGAATGGCTCCTGGCACAAGCACTCAGTCGTATAAGCGGCCTTTCCACATACACTCGCTACATCCCGCTATCTATGCTGTCCTTCTGCGCCAAGCGCAACCGTGAGAAGAATGAAGAGCATTCTATGTTAAAGGAGGACGTTTCATGTGAGTACTGTGAGCCAAAGTTTGGCGACAAGAAACGGCCATATCAAAAGAATACTCAGACAGCCCAACTGAGTCCAACTCTTCATGTCTGAGTCATGTCTTGTCAGTAGCCTCACAAGCATGTCAGCGACCTGAAACTGAGAGCACAGCGAGCCACCGAGAAGTCCAACCTAATGATTGGACAATTGCATTACGCACTCAGCTGGTACAGTAGGTGTCTAGCACGTCCATGATATTATTTTGTGCACCCAACTTGCATCGAATCATCGCGTCCGTCCATTTTTGGCCCCACCGGAGTAAAGTCCATTTCGATCCATTTCGGTATTGGAAGACCCGGACGACTTCAGAACACTATTGAGGAGTCCAATCAAACTGGGAGCTTTGATAACTCATCATCTACATGTACTGCATTCACTCATAAAATTAAATCTTTCGAGAGAGCCAGAAAGTGCTCGCTGCAAGCTCTCGTGCTTCCCGGCTGGTCTCATATGTGGCCTCTTCTCCTTGAGCGATGGCTGGCTTCTCCAGCTGCTCCACTTGAACATTGCCCAAGGTGATCACATGGCACATAGTTCCGCCAATGCTTCGGCCCGTAATCCCATGGTAGGAGCTCAGCCCTTCCAACTGCACATGCTCACTGGCGAAAAGAGCACATTCATTGAGGGAGTCCTCGATGTGTGGGTTCAGCTGTTGCAAGTGCAATAAAGGAACGATTGTGCCATATTTTTGGGTGATGAGGACTTTCAGGATTTGTGCCATCCCTGCTGCTTCCATTGGCATCCCAGCCTGAGAGAAGCAAGAGGTCAAGGCCAAAGGCACCTCGTCCTGAACAGAACCACGCAAGGCGTGTTTGGTCACCTGTGCCTCGACGGCGTCCTGCATGGAAACTCCATGGCCAAAGCACTCAACAGCTTCCATGGTGCTCGCTGCAATGGCTGCCTGCCGCAAGGCCTGGTGGATCATCTCGCCTTGCATCGGACCACATGGCGCCGTCAACGAGGCACTCCTACCTCCGTGGCTGGAATGGGTGGCTGCAATGATCCCCTTGGGCTTCGACTCCTCCTCCGTCTCATTCTGATCATCCATTCGGGTAAGCACTAGGTTGGCTACACCCTCACTCTTTGCATAGCCGTCAGCTGATTGATCAAAGGTCATGCAACGACCTTGATGTGACAAGTGCCCTTTGGCACTGAGCAATATCCAAGTGACTCCAGCTAACATCAGGTACACACCACCTACCAAAGCCGTATGATTCGGTTTGTAGAGATCGGTCTGCAAGCGCAAACTCATGGCTCCATTGGTCAAAGCAGCCAGGGCTGCAGCCCCTTGTGCATCAATTGTGAAACTTGGACCCTGCAAGCCCAAGCAGAAGGAAATCCGGTTGGAAGTGATACTGTTTGCACCGCCAGTTCCGGACATGGAGCAGTCTTGAGGTGCAAAGCCAAACTCAGAAGTGGCCGCACCAATGTAGACGCCAATCAACGATCTCATCAAAGACTTCTTCTGAAAGCCACTGAAATAAAGCGCCTCATAGGAAGTCTCGAGAATATGCCGTTGCCCTGGGTCCATGCCTCGTGATTCGACTGGCGAGATGCCAAAAAAACTTGTTGTCAAAAAGCTCGATGCCATCAATAAAGGAGCCGTGATTGCCTGCACATGGAAGCACCAAGTTCAAGAAATACATGATTGGAAGCACCAATTGACGAGAGACTTAACTTGAGCTTGGGACTCTAGACTCTACTGTTTTCATTTGGGTCCTGTGAGTGTGTTTGTTTGCGTCGCTGAATCATGGTTCATTTGGTTGGGATCACGAAATTGCAATTGAGAGGATTTGGTGAAGAATGCTTGAAGAATGCTCTTGACGTTTCTGTCGAGATGCAACTGGTCTTGCCCCACTTCCAGCTCTCACGATCTGGGTCATAGACATCCGCATGGTCCCAGCGGCAAAGCGGCACCTCCTCGAGTAAGTCACATCCAGTCTCCGCACCGCACCAAAACCCTGCGTCGCTGTAGGAGGCCGGCAGCTTGCAGCTTGTGCCCCGCACAGCTATTTGGGGGCCCATTTGGAAGACCTGCGAAGCCATCCGCTGCCACTGGCCTGGCAAAGTGCTATCCAGTTCTTGACCTTTGTCGCCAATGCTCTGATTCCGTCGGGACTCCTCCCAATGCTCCTTGGCCCAATCCATCAAATCTCGACACACGGGGGTCACCACGACCGGGACACCAAATCGCCTTCGCCAGCTGTGAGTAGCATCCTCCATAAGGAAACAGCTCAAGGCCAAGGATCGAGCTGTGGAGAAGAAGCGATGTGTCAAGCCATCGGACCGCAGCAACAACAACGTGCCTGGCCCAACATCCAGCTCCACAGTATCAACTTCAGCATCCAAGGGCTGGAACTCCATCCGCCCAAAGCCAGGGCCCAGGAAGAGCACTAACATCAATCTACTATGGCCTAGTATCTTCAGCCATTTCTGGCAGTCTCCAGGCGTCAGCTCTGGAACATCACTATCCATGGGAATGCCTGCTTTGTGCAGGATGCAAGGGGACTGGGTCGTCATGCGGCACCCGAGTATGGAGTCCAAAGGGGTAACCGCATCAAAGACTTGCTTCAAAAAGGTATCTGCAGCCCGTAGCCCTTGTTTCTGTTGGGTCGCAAAGTTGTAGCCTTCCAAATCCATGATTTCGGCCGAACCTTCTTCACCTAAGAGCCCGTCCACGATCAATGAGGCTGGTGGCCGAAAGCGTTTGCCGTCATCTTCTTGGAGCAGCTTCAGTGCATCCAAGCGAGCAGCATCCACAGTTTGCTGATGTTTTCCACCTAAGCCTATGAGACAAAAGCCCTTCCGCAGCAAGCACTTTGCCATGAGCTCCCGCGACTCGTTGCTGGAAAGCCCATCGGAACCGAGGCTCGGTGCAGCCCTTGGCCCCTCCTCATCTGAGTCATCTGCCTCCTCAGCTACTGTCCGGTCGGACTCCGCTGCGTCCACGCCCACAAGGAAGTCATGGATTACCTCCCGCTTCCGCCTCATCACCAAATTAACATCTTGCCTACGCGGCTTAAGCCAATGCTGCGGAAACATGCAGTTCAACGCCCATTCCCGGGCACGGCATGTGCAACGCGGGATCAACGTAGTGAAAACAAGTACGAGCACTTTCCTCCAACCGTTGCTTCAAACAGCCCACGCTGATGCGTTCAAAACCTGCCGTTCAGAGGAGACACTAGCATAGCCACGAAGAGGTCAATCAAGGAGTCGTTCAAATGCTGGCCATCCTCCATGCGAACCTCATCGTGTGGTGAAAGAATCTTATGACATTAGTGACTTGTGACGCTTGTGGCGACAACACATGCTAGGGAAGCTACCCAGTCCGCTTCAAGCACATCAACAGGACGACCTCAACTGGTGCAGAATCCCGCCATCCGAATGATCCAACTCAACAGAATCCACCAAGAAAGGATTCTACAAGGCGGTAACACACACATTGATCGGCTTGTTTGATGGTCTGTGGGCTGAGCTTCGTACCATAATTGAAGCATTCAGCATGCAGCCAGTCAGCCTGTGTAGGCATAGTAAGGACTGAAATCCTATGAAGGCAGTCATAAATTGCAGACCCGTGGAGTAGCCGCAACAAAAAGACAAGGTTCACCATGTGCACAGAACACCTCATGACCCATAACGTAGTCCAGGTTTCAACAGGAACTCGTCCCACCCCAAAAACCTGAGGCTAGCGGGGGTAGACAAAAGCTACGGCAATCAGTTGCAAAAGTGCATCGGTTCAAAGACTCAACGATGCTTAAGCCTAATGGCCAGCTTAACATTCATTCTCCTATCAATGCCACTAGCATCAACGATGCTGGACCGCAACGGCCAACTTAACATTATCGTATCGAGACTTGCCATGTCCCTGCACGTAGATGTGACAGCCCGACCCCCGCCAACTCACCTTCGCAAGTGACTCCAGACTTTCCAGCATGTTGTGACCTTGTGAAACATGCACAACTTGTGACTCTCAAGGCGTTCAGACCAGGCCTTTTGAGACGTCCGTGTTCAATTGAGCAAGCTCCTCCACAGCCAGTTGTTTCCAACACATCGACTTCAAAAGTGAGTCAAAGAAGAGGGAAAGTGAAGGAGCCCCTAGTAGCTTCTTGTTACTAGTAGCTACTTGTTTCTAGTAGTACGGCCAGGAGCCCCTAGTAGCGTTCTTGCTCCTAGTAGTACGGCCTTCTTGCTCCTAGTGGTACGCCAGTAGCGTTCTTGCTCCTAGTAGTACGGCCAGGAGCCTAGTAGTACGGCCAGGAGCCCCTAGTAGCGTTCTTGCTTCTAGTAGTACGGCCAGGAGCCCCTAGTAGCGTTCTTGCTCCTAGTAG